AATCAGGGCTGTCTCTTATACACAGCTAGATGGGTATAAGAGACAGGGGTTAAATGTATTAACAAGTGTAATATCATCGACATACTTAAATCGACTGCATGTAGACTCGTAATAACACATGAAAAAATCAGCGGGCCTAATGCCAGCCCAAGAATGCAGATCCATACTTAACTCTCTGACGTCGAGAATGTAAGAATTCAATGATCCGGGGTATAATTTCATTCCTGACTCCAAGTTCAAGAAGCCGATTAATAGCAACAGAATGATCAATGCAATCAAAAGCATTGGTAAAATCTGTAATTACCATAGCGCCAACAGAATTTTCCTTGTCTAGCCCTCTATATAGCTTATCTAACATTTCAATTAGGCAATGAGTGGTGGAACATCCATGTAAACATCCAAATTGGTAACGGTCTATATTGTCGATAATATCCAGCTGCCTTGCTGCTTTTAATCTTACTAAGTTTAGAGTACATTTCGCAAACTTCGACCAAAGGGGGTTTATTACATGGCATGAAAGCAGGAAATAGAGAGGTGTATCTGGTTTCGATTTTACTCGATTTAGCGATTTAAAAACGACAAACACAACAGTAGAAACACTGTGAACATATTTAAATTTTATTTAATTTATTTTAAATTTGCAAAAAGGTATCTCGTGTTTCACCCAAGAGCCGGCCGGATTGCTAAAAAATAAAATAAGTTACTATCTAGGTGGCTCTCCAAATAATGATATTCCAGTTAAATAACAATTACAAAACAATACCAATTTGCACGGAACACTCCAACGTCCAGCACATGTATGTTGGGCTAACATAGACCTATTTCATATAGCATACCTGCATATTGTTCGAGTTTTGGTTCATACGTGCTCCAGAAGGCACACTTGTCGGCTCGATAAGCTCGTTCAGGTGACGACGTCGGATTAATATCGAGGTAGTTAAGTTCAGGAATTGTAAACTCTGGCCAGACGGCAAGATCCTCATCAAAGGAAGGGGTTGACACCTCACTCCCTCTGGTATTTGGATCTCTAAGGGCATAAACAGGAGTAGTTGAAAGTTGTAAGCTAAATAGCGTAGTTTACAATTTGTTTAGACTAAGCATCTAAATGTTAATAAAACTTACCCTGTTTTTGCAAAGTTTGTCCAGTATCTCATAAATTCCACCGACAAATTTCGGTCGGTATCAGACGGCTGTTCTAAAGAGTAGATATGTGTTCCATTAAGAAAAGGCAATCCAAACACAAATTGGAGTTCTTCGGCATGGCCAGCTCCAAGCCAGTCAAAATCGAAACCAAATATCGGAACTTTTGGTGTATGAGACATCAGATAAACATACACTTTGTTACCAACTGGGACATGCGCACGCTGTACTGCGTCACTTGGGCAGAGAAACTGAAAATCTGTGGCCAATTGAACACCTGAATCAAAATAGTTAGCTTCAGGGTCGTCTGCGTGAGACCAGTCGGTGTATTCGAAATATATAGAGTCCAAAATATGGGGATTTGATGCTTCCTCAATTGGAACAAATGCTGTTGGAATTAGATTAAGGAACTGGGATTTGGAAACTTTGGGAGTATCTGGAGTTAGGTAGTCTGGTAGGTATAAGTAGAAAAGTGTACCATCATCTTTGTTTGTTCCAATGATGATTTTTGTATCAGTTTTAAACTCTCCATTACGTATCAGAATCTCTGGACTGCTTTCAATAAATATTCCGTCTACTACTGGCCCCGGATAAACATTTATCTGTTAAACATAAACAATTATTAAAAATGATTTGAAAATTACAAGTTTATAGGAATTTTAGCCTATTTATTTAGATAAGGATTAATCAATTGGTTAGAAATATAGTGATATTCTTTATTTTGATAATAAATTGATGATTAGAAGACGCTTTACAATGTATGATACTTTGGATTGTAATCTCCAAACCTTTCGATTAGTATACACTAAAGCCTGATTTCCATAAAAATCGCTACACGATACCGTAGACTCCTTTGGTGACGTCGATTAGTAAGCTGAATCAGGGAGTGTTCTTGATTGCGTCGGGGACAGCTACGCACTGCAAGGATTGCAGTACAAACTCTGTAGCGACTGTGCAGCGATTTTACGGAAACCAAGCTTAACCGTCTTAAAGAATGATGAAGAGCATCATTCGGTATACCGAAAACATTTTCTTAATTATTATTGCCATTTCGCTATGAAGTCTTTAAGGATTAATAACATTATTAACATTATATATTTATTTTATATAAACAATATATTTATTAGACGCCATTGTTTAAGTATGATATAGTTATGCTGTTTTTTCATACAAAATATAAAAAATTTGAGTTGACTGACCCAAAAATACAAATGCATATTATATAGTTTAAATTCTAAAACCGGTAGCGAAATGGCAAACACCACGCTAAAATATTGTTAAGTAGCAATATCATGGTATTATTTGATTTGAAGTTATTTAGCAATGAGAGTAAAATACAAAATACAATTTAAAACTGTGAAAGTAAGGAATAGCCCAAAAAGGTTTCAAAGAAACTTATTTCCATTGGGATCATGCAAACGAAAACAAGAAAATTTGCTTAAATTTAAAGTGATCATTAATAATATTAAAATAGACAATATTAAAATATTAACAATTTGAAAACTAAAAACTTCTTTCACCTACTTAAAATTAATGAAAAAATAGACTTATTTGACTAACTGAAAGTTAATTTCCATAACAAAAGACTTGGCCTCAGTGTGGGGGGGGGGGAGAAGCTACCTTTCCCCTATCGGGGAGATAAACGACAACTCGACGGGAAGCAAAAAAAATATAATTATTTTCACCTAATACTAAATGGTAGATTCTATCAATCTATCTACTATAAAATCAATTAAATAAGCCGTTGAAACCCCTAAATTGTCAAATGTTTTGAAGGCTTTTCCCCCTGGACCATTTTCGAAACACGCCCACTTTGCTCTCGTCGGGGATATTTCCCCAACCCTGTCGGGGACCTCAGCTTCCCCGTCGGACAAATCCTGGCGCCACCACTGAAGACTAGGCAATATAGGAAATCATTGAACACCTATCCATTTCACAGGTGGTCTTTGAGAGACTTATGAAAATAGTTTAAAATGTGGAGAGCTTTATTTTTGTTGGTTGAATCTGTTCCAATTTTAATTTAATTTAATGTGAAATAAAATGTTTTGTCAGCACCGCGCCATTTATAATAATTTATAGGGACCGTAAAGTTTACTGAACTGCTACGTGTGAAACGGTGATGACAATTTTGTATGAGTTTAAATTTTTGAGTTAAATAAAATGGGACCGTTTTGGTGAAAATGTTGTACACATTACATAGGCCTAATCTTAAAAACTTAGCTTTATTAATAACACTAAGTAAACCGATATCTTTTATCATGTTTGAGAAATCTGAAACTTTTTTGAAAGATCCTGGCATTAGAGATCTCAGAAAACCAAGAAGATGAGAAATGGCTTGAACCAGAGCAAATATAAGTAACTTGCGACTATTATAATGAAAGTTGTTGTGACTAATATAACAATTTAATATGAGAATTAACTAGAAATTATCGATTCAGCAATGAGTTCGCCAGACACTTGTTAGACAATCTGAACGCACACGTAGTTAACAGAATTAGACGCTTTCACAGAGCAACCATTAAAACCGAAGATTCAAGGCACTTTCACAAAACTTCCTCAATAAAAGCAGGGTCGGGATCAGAAAATAAAATTGCAGAATCGTCCGCATATAAAATAACCTTACAAGAGGGGTAAAAAAACATAGCAATGTCATTTACGTAAACAAGGAATAGAAGAGGCCCAAGAATACCGGTACTGCCTTGGGACACTCCACACTCTATTGGCAAGACCAGAAGAAAGTACCTTTCATATAAACAGACTGTTTACGGCCATTTAAGTAGGGACTAAACCATTCAATTGAAGCGCAGCCAGAATCATTTAAACAAGTAATTTCAATAAAATATTATATCCACAAGTGTCAACACTAGCAACGGAAAATATCATGTTGGTCGTTTTTTGTTTGATAACAGAACTTTAATCGAGGTAAGGCTAGGCCTAGCCTAGCAGTGTTGCTAGGCTATGTTTCTGGCACCTGTCTCAAAATCAAACATAACAAAATTCATCCGCCTGTGGAACACAAAAAAATCAAATTTGAGTCTTATTTTACTTATTTTTCATGTATAGGAATGTCTAAATTCAGTTAAACTAGCAATTGTGGATTATGTTTATAAATCTTTCTAACATATATAAGTCAGATTTTTCTTAAAAATATGAAGTTTTGCTTGGAATGGGGCTTTAAGATGTCACCACTCATAAAATCATTAGTGTTGCGATTTATTCTACATCAGTATTAAGAGGAACTAATTTCTCTATGACATCAATGAATTTACTTTTAAAACTAGCCCATGCAATGTTGACATTGGTCGACAAACACATGAATATGTCCTTAAACATAATTAAATCACAATAATCTTACCCCAACAGACGCATTTGCAACAGCTCCAGGATCGACACCTTTCATGCATTCTACAAATGATTTACTATCCGTAAATTCACAACCTACTTTCTTACCAATGGTGATTGCTAGATCTTTAGCCTTTTCCCGTTCCGTATAGGCCCATTCACATAGAGAAGTTCCACTCTGAAATGTATAATCCATTGAATTCATGTATGCTGGCAAATTAAGTACACTGACAAAGTTTGTTATCATAAAACTTAAAAAATATCAACTATGCAAATTAGCTACCCGCATGTCTGCTATTTGACTTAGATGGGTATCGTCTTTTGACCCTTGCCTATATCTATATTAAAGGACACACACACAAATATATATATATATATATATATATATATATATATATAGCAGCAGCAACAGCAGCAGCAGCAGCAGCAGCAGTAGTAGAGAGTAGCGGCATCAGTAGCAGTAGAAGTAAGCGCGCCTACTGTAGTAGCAGCAGTAGTAATAGTAGCAGCAGTTACAGTAGTACTGTCAGTAGTAGTACAAACATGTCATCAAACATACAATCATTAACCATTATGCCTACCTCTAAAATTGCTTGATTAAAATAATCCCAACTTTGCTTTGAGAGGAGATGATAATCTACACTGGCCGACCCCGCACTTTCACCGAAGATCGTCACACGTGATGGATCGCCTCCAAACGCTGTGTAACGTAACAACATTCTTGTTTGAACAATATAAGTTCTAAACGCCAAAAATTACGTTTAGAAAAAAATATGTTGCGTGTATACATTACTATTACTACTATTATTATTATTATTATTACTATTGAAATATTTGTAAAAAAAAAAACAGTTAAAAACAGTCACATACATCAGTGATGTATAATACAGCAAGAAAGAATGTAAAAATTATACATTCAAGAGTGAAGCAGATTGAAGCTTTAATTTTCTTTTTATATTTATTATTAGGATGCTCGAATTTAACAAGCAAATGTAAGCAGTGCAAGATATGAAGTTGATGACTCACAACGTCATTGTACTGAACATCGTACGAGCACCTGATTTTTTCATTGAAAATATCCCCGCTGTGATGATACTTAAGCAAACAGTATGAAAATAATGCGCATTTTCTATGGTCATATACATCTGTCTGTTATATTGTTTATTTGATCTAAGCAGTAGGCCCTATCCATCAATTGAAATCAGAACCTAAAATTCATAATCTTATGATGGGGAAACCGCATTTTACTTTAGTCTACAAAATGTAATGCAAAAATGACATTATTCCTTATTTATTTCTTCTTGAATTATCATAAATGTATATGGTTAGCAGATATTTGGAAGTATTTTTTATTGCTTTTGTTTTCATACATCAATAAGAACAGTTTACCTCCAATATTTTTGTTTACCCATTTTAAAGCCTCAAGCTGATCGAACAGTCCTGCGTTGCCGGGATAGTCATCATCTCCTGTGGGAGAAAAATAAAGTTTCCAGTGGAGTTATAGTTAGAGGTGGCCTATATGCTCATTTTCCATATTCTATACAGGCCAGTAACTGGGATTCCTTAAGGTAGTTTCTATGAGATTCGAAAAAATATCTTTAAACACATGATTGTGCAGAAAATTTGCCGCTTTTTTAATAGGCCTATTTACAATATACATTAATGATTTCAATATATATAAATTATTATTTTATAGAATTTCATAACATATGAGATAAAATATTGGTCTTAACAGTAAGTTTTTAATGTCTAAATAAGTCAATTGGCTATTAACACTTATTACGTCGCTACTGTTAAGCATGGAGGAATAAGCTAAACTTATTCCTCCATGGTTGTTATGGAGTGTATGAATGTTACGGTTTGATGGTTAAGAACTTACGATCTCAGGGTTTTAGTAGTCACGAGGTTAAATACTATGTTTAAATCTCATAATGATTATTGTCACATAAAAATATTAGATAATTTATTATCTTCTTTACATAATAATGTAAGCCTATCTGTAATTAGCAGATCGCATGTACTGAAACTTCAAGCAATATAGTTAGTTTGTTAAAGTATGAATATATTTTATCCGTACCTGTTGTAAGAAAACCATAAAAGTTGAGCCTGTAATTGATGGTTACCACAATGACGTCACCGGTGGCAGCTAATACCACCCCAGAGTAATCGTCTGTTGAGGCTGTGCCTGTCAGGAAGCCTCCTCCGTGAATGAATAACATGACAGATGCGTTATGTGGCTAAATAATAATGATAAAATAGTAATAATAAATCTATGAAGCATTAAACAAATAATATGTTGGTAAAAACAATATCGCATAGGTCTAATTATACAACATACTGTTTAATAAAAAAAATTATTATATATGACAAAATATTTACACAGAATCGAGGATTCTTTACCTTAGATTGGGGAACAAATATGTTTAAGTACAAGCAATCTTCTTTACCCACAACTGTATACGGATTTGCATCTACAGGCTGGATGCACGGTGGACTATATTCTGTCGCGTTCAAGGTACCTATCCAATGTTCTTTTGGGCTCGGCTTCTCAAAGCGCAGACTACCGACTGGGGGCTCGGCGTATGGAATACCCTTGTATACATCGATATACTTATTGACACCTATGTATGAATCTTCAGAAAAAAGAATCGTCTTTCCTTCAACTTCTCCCAACGTTGTAATTACATGTGGAGATTGACCGTAAACTAACGCAATGATGCAGGAAAGCGTAATGGTTGTGATAATTTTGGAATGCATAACTGCAAGCCACGGGGTATAATGTGTAAACGAATACTGTACTTAGTGTTAAATAGATATTTATAAGCTAGGCCTACAAACTGTTTGTAGACGGTATATAATAAAGCTTGACCTTTGCTCATGGAGATTGCTTATGAAACACAAGTCTATCTCTTCTGTTTACTTGGTAAATATATAAACTTGGACGTTTTGGGCATTCAAATGTCCTTACGCACATTCTCGTCTATACTAAATGAAGCATTAAACATCGACTTAAAAAGTGGATATTTTATCTGGTCACTAAACTCGAAATTAACATTACAGTCGTATTTTTAACAGCATCACTAGCTACGTACGAATACACTTCCGGTTGAAATCTGGCATTGTCTTAAAACAATTGTGTAGGCATATTAATAATATATATTAATGCTTGCAGTATACCACGTAGATAGATCTGAAAAGAACTGTTGTTGTTTGAGAATGTCTTGACGTTTCGATTGAGTTCCTTCAATTGTCTTCAGGAGAATAATATATTAATAATATCTTTCAAGTCTTTAATAGGCTTACAACTTATATTAAGCTTACAATGTTAAGATTAAATTTTGACTGACAATGCATTGATGACGAATGATATAAGACTAACTGTAAACATGATATCATTCCATAACTTTAATTTTAGTTAATAAAAAATTTAAAAAATCCTGATTAATAGTACTAAATGATCGGTAATGTTAAAAATATATATATTAATGTATATGGAATGTAAGCCATCCTCCTTTTATTAAGGATTCCGAGTACAGTAACTGAGTGACCCTTGC